GTGATGGGGGGAGTTGGCCCTGCCTATGGCAGGGAGGTTGGAACGAGATGATCTTTCAGGTCCCTTCCAACCCTGACAATTCTATGATTGTGTGATACTCTCCAGCAAAAAGAACCAACCCAAACCTGCTGTCCTCTGCCACCAGGCTCCTTTGTGTCCCCACAGGCCACGCTGCGGTACCACATCCCCCCGCCGGGCACAGACGTCACCTTTGCCCTGGCAGTGCAGACAGCCTGCACCTCACCCAGTGCCACCAGCTTCCCTGTCACCATCCGTGCTCGGTAGGGGACACTCACCTGACCCTTGGCCACCCCATCCAATGCCACCCAGTTCCCTGTCACCATCCACCCTCAGTAGGGGACACTCACCTGCCCCTCACCCCATCCAATGCCACCCAGTTCCCTGTCACCATCCACACCTGGTAGGGGACACTCACCTGCCCCTTGGCCATCCAATGCCACCCAGTTCCCTGTCACCATCCGCACCTGGTAGGGGACACTCACCTCCTTTGCCCTGGCAGTGCAGACAGCCTGCACCTCACCCAGTGCCACCAGCTTCCCTGTCACCATCCGTGCTCGGTAGGGGACACTCACCTGACCCTTGGCCACCCCATCCAATGCCACCCCGTTCCCTGTCACCATCCACCCTCAGTAGGGGACACTCACCTGCCCCTCACCCCATCCAATGCCACCAGCTTCCCTGTCACCATCCACGCCTGGTAGGGGACACTCACCTGCCCCTCACCCCATCCAATGCCACCAGCTTCCCTGTCACCATCCACACCTGGTAGGGGACACTCACCTGCCCCTTGGCCACCCCTAGGGGACACTCACCTGCCCCTTGGCCACCCCATGCCACCCAGTTCCCTGTCACCATCCACACCCTGTAGGGGACACACCTGCCCCTTGTCCCCCCTGTGCTAAGAGGCTTCTGGCCAGTCTCGTGGTGACCAGGGTTCCCCTTCACTCCTGAGGTTTAGGTGCTGAGATGTCCCCACCCATCTAACTGTGCTCTCCACAGCTGGGTGAAGGGCACAAGGTCCCAGAGGGGTGGGTCAGGCCATACTCCTGGTTTCTGCCAGTCACCACAAGTTATCCCAAGGGCTATGGATCTCACCACCTTCTAGAACTAGGTCCCAAAACCCTGGCAATGTGAAGATCCTGTGGGACTGGCTGCTGGCACTTATTCCTAAGTCTTCCCTCCTCTGCTCCTGGGTGGCAGTCACACCACTCTGCTGTACCCCTGAGCTGGGATAGAACTGCCAAGAGAGCAAACAGAGGTGTGGTTTTACCCACCGTGCCTTGAGAAGGTGGCTCCAGAAGCCTTCCAAGGAATTTATTCTTGGCTCAGCACAATTAAAAGAGAGATCAGGAGAAGCAGAAAGGTTTGTTCAGTCCAGGAGCAGGTATGCTTACAGGAGAAAGACACTGGAAGGAAAGGCAGCCTCCTCCACTTGAGTGCCAAAGCTGGGCTGGAGTATCTGGAGGTCATGGCTCAGAAAGTAACATCAGTGCTGTCCCCTGGGTTCCTGCTGCAGCTACACAGGGAACCGTGTGTCCACCAACATGGTCCTGATCCAAGTGGAGCTGCTGTCTGGATACAGCCCCGTGGCAGGGTCACTGGAAGAGGTGAGACCACAAGTTTGTGTCCAGCAGGGGTGGGAACAGGGGTGGATGTCTGTCGTGCAGGGCTGTGATCACTCCTGTGGGCAAACAAGCACAGTTCTTTTCTTCCCAAGAAATCTTCATACCCAAAGTCTCCTCCAGACTGCACCTTGCCTTCCCCTACCCCAAGGGCTTCCTTGTCCATATGAACATTTTGCCCATGCTCTCACAAAGACAAATATCCCTGAATATTTCTGTTAGTCTTTCTGACATTTTTTCCCCTATTTTCAGCTGAAGAAAATGCCCTTAGTGAAGAAAGTTGAAACCGAAGCTGACCGAGTCATTCTCTACCTGGAGGAGGTGAGTGGAATTCAGGCTAACGTCATCATTAGGAGGATTATGGGCTGGCAGATAGCTTTTGGCTTACTCTTGTACCTTGGTTCCATTAGTATTTTAAACATTCAGAGATGTTCCTGCATAGCAGCCACATCTGCTGGTCTGGAGCAGTGTGTTGTGGCAGCCTGGAGTAGCCTGTGCACAGGACCACCTGAGGGAGGTGAGGCTAGCTCTGATGGTAACATCTGCTGGCACTGCTCAGAGACTGTTGAAAGTCCATGTAAAGTGTCTGGTCAGGACTGGGGAGCAGTTGTAGGATCCATCTAGTAAATACAAGGGAGCCTGAATTCTTAGAATGCCCTTTAGCAGCCTGAATGTAGTAGGGAGTGTCTGAGATTGTGTGTGGAGTTTGTCAGGATCACCCAAAATTAAAACAGATGGCTGTGTGAGCAGCAGAGCTCGTCCAGGGCTCCATCAATCAACAGATTAACAACCACTCCAGCCTTTCTCTGGGCACACTCATACCCAAACAGCACCACTAAGGCAAGCTGCAGGCAAGGGCTCAGGGCAGAGCTGTGTGGGAAGGTGAGGCTGCCTGAGAACACCAGTGCTACCTTTACATACCTAATGCCATTGACTCTGGGGGCTTGATGCTTCCCACAAGCTGAGTTAAATTCAGTGACCAAAACTGGGAGTTGGCCACAGAATGTGATGTAAAAGATATTTCTGAGTTGGACTGCACAGCAGAAGAGATCTGCCCCAGTGGTGAGGTCTCTGTGAAGCCTGAGTGAGGGCAGGTGGAAGGGATTGTCTTAAAGGACTTTGGTTCTGGCTGTAATCCTTTCATCTTTTGGTCTTAGCTGACCAGAGAGCCTCACACCTACACTCTGCTGGTGCAGCAGGACGTGCAAGTGAAGGATCAGAAGCCAGCCAATGTCAAGGTCTATGATTACTACATGCCAGGTAAGTCCAGATGCTGTGCTGCAGACACTACCCAAATCCACCACTGGAAAGACATTTTCTGAAGTGGTCAAGTTTAAGGCAGTGCCACCCCTGACATGTTTCTCTAACTGCCCCTTAGAAGCTCCCTAGTGATGGACTTACCCTCTTGGGTTTCAAAAAGGTAGATCCTTCTTTCTCTGGCCCCAGAACCTGCAAGCTTGAAGTTGGCATGTAGATCCACTGAGGGTCTGACTCTCCCAAGAGGAGAGGAGCAAGGAGCTCAGAGCCATGCTCATTTTGTGGGAGGCAGCAAAGGCAGAGGGACCATAGTGAGTGGATGGCTTAGAAGAATGAGTGCCCCTTAGAAGAATATCACTGTAAATAACTTGTCTGTTCTCTGGGGTTCCTAGTGGGAGGAAGAGCTAGAAACGTGTCAGGCGTTGCTATTGCTCCAGAAAGTAAGGAATCCATAACTCTAACAGAGCTGTTTGAAGCTTACAGCTTCAGAAGATTGCCAGCTCCATGACTTGGGTGAATCTGGAGTTGCTGCATTCAGAATTTTTGACCCAGCTGGTATTGTGTCTCAGCACCTCTCCTAGAAGCAGAGGCACAATGCTGGGCTGCTCTAGGGAGGTTTTGGGAAGTGAATCTCACCAGCACTTTGTTTTCTTGTCTTTCAGAAGAAACTACAGTGATGAGCTACAATGTCCCATGCAAGTGAGGTGAGAGCTCAACACCTCTTGTCTTCACAGGTGTGGTCATGAAGAGTATGAAGAGGGAGGGAGATGCAGGCAAGGGCCTTTGGTCAGGAAACCTGCCAGACTGCAGGCTCAGGGTGGGGAGTGATGAGCAGTGCTAAGTAAGGGTGAGCTTCTGTAGCTCAGTGGTTAAACAGGGGGGAAGAGAGAACTGAAGTGGAAGGTTTAAGGTGCCAGCTCATGGCAGATTTGGAAGTATGTTGCAGAGAACAAGGGCTGTCCCAAGTCCTACCACCAGTCCTGGCTTTTTGCATTAGATCTACCTTCCTCAAGCCAACACAGTTCCTCTTCTGGGCACGTTCCCTCTGTTCCCACAGCCCTGCAGCCCTCGTGCATGCAACACCACCTCCACCTCCACCTCCACTGCAGGGCCTGAGCCCTTTTCAGTGTCAGGCTGTTCACAGTCTCAGCCTGGCTTCTGCCCCACGCTAGGGAACGGGCACCTGCCCCTCTTCTCTCCAGGCTGGGCAAAGGCAAAGCTTGAACCAGTCAGCTTGACCAGTGTCTGCTCCCCTTCTAAACTGCATCTCCCTCTGCATGCTTCCCACGAGATGGAGAAAACCCCCACTTCATGAGCCACCTGGGGGAGGCACAAGGCCCTGCCCTGCAGTGCCTGCCACAAGCCCACACTCCTGGTGGAGCTTCTGCCATAGGTTGTGTATGGGTAGAGGCAGAGAGCCCTGTTCTTGGTGGCCTGGGGGTCCTGTCTGGTAACGAGGTTCCAAACACCCCCTGAGACCCCAGGGGCTAGTTTTAATCCTTCAGGAGCACAGAATTGTTTGTCCTTTGTTGTCTTCACAGGCACGGGGACAGACCCATCCTCTGCAGTCTCTGTCCATCAGTCCTTTGTCACCTTTACTAGCAGCCACCACGTGCAGATGAGAAGCAAAGAGAAGACACTTGAGATCTCCTGCTGAGCAGTTAGCTTCTGAAAGGCTCAGACCGTGCCTGGCATCTTATTAAAAGTCAGGAGAGCAGAACTGGCTGAGGGAGTGATTATTCAGCTTCACTGGTTTTTCTAACAAACCAGGGAAGTTGCATTTAAGAGAACATGGTGAAAAAATCACTTCTGTGTGTGCATGTACACGTCCACGTGGAAAACTCTGCCCCTGCAGTGGTGGGCTTGCACAGAAGGAGGTAGAGCATGCACCAAGAGCTGGTGCCTGGGGCAGGTGAGCATCACACAAGCTGGAGCTGAAGGCAAGGGAGGACTGGGCTGTGTTCAACAGCTCCTTTGGTCAGGAACTGTTGAATCCTTGCCTGTAAAGATCTTTCTCAGGAGGAACTGGCAAGGCTGTGCTGCTGGGGGGTGGGGTGAGGGCCTAGAGCCTCAACCCATGGCATTGCTGTCTGGAGACTGCTTCAAAGAAGAGCTGATGGCACAGCTTGCAGGAAGGGAAGGGGAGATACAGCTGGCACAGTGTGGTGAGTTGCATCTTGTACTCCAAAGCTGCCTGAATCCTACTTCAGGAGGTATTAGGAGAAACCATGGGAAGCATGAGGAGAGAGCAATAGAGGAGCTAGAGGGTTTGTGCATTGGCAGCCACAGAAATGGCACTTCACAGGCTAAGCCCAAGTTCATCAACAAGTGGTACAAGGGCAGCCAGGTCAGAGGTCATGCTTCCTTTAACCCCTCTCCCCAGGTGTGTGTGGGACAGGTGACACCCTGCCCCTGCCCCAGTCCTGCTCCCCAGGAGGCAGACACAACACTGGACTGTGGACATCCCCTAGTCCATGCACACAGGCACAGGGCTGGGTGTGCCCAGCTTTAACTGGGGCTGTGTCCCAGCTGGACACTTCATCCCACCTCATCCCACTTCATCCCACTTCATCCCACCTCATCCCACCTCATCCCACCTCATCCCACTTCATCCCACTTCATCCCATTCAGTGCTCAGCCTGAAACACTGGGCAAGGGCAAGAGTCATGGTGTGGCAGTTCCTCTCCTTGCCTTTATTACAGCTTTGGGAGATCCTTTACCCCTTTCTTAGGGACCACGTGAGATTGTGGGGACAGAAGGGAAGACAAGGAGAGCATGATCCAGTTTCCCCACGGCTGTCATCGGGCTGTGGAAGGTGCCTGGTCTTGGCTAGCCATGGGGGTGGCTTTCCAGGCAGGTCCCTGGGTGGCAGTCTGTCTGTGGGATGGTGTCAGGATGCAGCATGCACCATGTCAGGATCCTCTCTTATCCTTCCATGAGAGTCTTCCAGCTCCTCCCTGGCTGCAGGACAGCCCCATCCTAGCTCCACACAGGCAACTGCCACTTTCTCCTCCCAGCCAGATGTATGCTCCCCAATGATCACCAGCTGTCCTCCTGTCTTTGTTTCCTTACACTCCCCCTCTCCACCCACCCTCCCTCATTTCCTGGTGCCACTCTTGGTGTGGCACAGAGACTTGCTGCCTACCTCAGTTACAGACAGCGCTGTACTCGGCCAAGGCTTGCTCCTCTGGAAAAGGGAGGGAGGGAGTTGGTTACTGGGAGCACAAACCCCCTGTGCCAGGCAGCCCCCAGCCCCAGGGCAGGGACAGTCCAACCCACCTGGCTGGTAGTAATCGTAGATCTTGATGCTGGCAGGTTTCAGGTTCTTCATCTGAATGACTTGTTCCAGTTGCAGAATGAAAGTCTGAGATTCATCGTTGAGCTTGTAGAGGAGGAAAGAAATAGGCACGAAAGGGGAGAAAGAAGTCTCTGCATCTTCATCTTCCCCAGCTTGGGTGTTTTGCTACACTAAATCTCTCTAATTCCTCTGCTCTGCTCTCCTGAGACCCCACTTGGAGTCTGTGTCCAGCTCCAGAGCCCCCAGCACCAGAAGGACGTGGAGCTGTTGGAGCAGGTCCAGAGGAGGACCACGAAAATGATCCAAGGGCTGGAGCAGCTCTGCTGTGAGCACAGGCTGAGGAGTTGGGGCGTTGGGGCTGTTCAGCCTGGAGAGGAGGAAGCTCAAGGGAGACCTTCTGGCAGCTTTCCAGTATCTGAAGGGGGCCTACAGGAAAGCTGGGGAGGGACTTTTTACAAGGGCTTGTAGTGACAAGATGAGGGGTGATGGCTTCAAACTGGAAGAGGGGAGATTTAGACTGGGGGCAAGGAAGAAGTTCTTCATGATGCAGTGAGACCCTGGCCCAGGTTGCCCAGGGAAGCTGTGGATGCTCCATCACTGGAGGTGTTCAGGACCAAGACCTTGCACAGCCTGGTCTAATGGGAGGTGTCCCTGCCTATGCCAGGTGGGTTGGAACCAGATGATCTTTAAGGTCCCTTCCCACCCAAACTGATTCTGTGATTTGAGACTCTGAATTTTAGAAATGGAGGTTTTGTGAGGAATAGCAAATTCTAACCCAATGCCAACGAAACTGGGCAAGTTTCCTCTGCCCCCAGTTCTACCAGCACTCTCTCCCCATGACTAACCCAGTCTTGGGCTTCTCACAGCAGCTCCTTGTCCTCTGGCCTCTTGCTGTGCAAAGCCCAGCTTACCTTCTCCAGGTAAATGTGAACCACCTCAGCTTTCACTTCTAGTTTCTTGACGATCGTTCTGCGCTCCAGCTGAGGTGGAAACAGCAGCACAGAGAAGTTTGTGAGCACTTCCCTGAGGGCTCTCTGACCAGTGGGACCCCCGTTGTACCAAAGGCATGGGGTGGAGCTGGGCTCTGGGTGGAGCTCTGTCTTTCTCACACAAAATTTTAGTGGTTCTCTCTTTGCTCGTCCCTCCTGGACATCCCTTGTGAGCACCCTGGGGATGAGCTGTGCTGCCCCAGCTCAGTTAGAGGAATGTCCCACTCTGGGGACAAAAGGCCTTGTGTTTGGTAGGCAGGGCTGATGCACTGGCCAGCAAAGAGTAGGCAACAGAAAAGATTCATGTTGTCTCACCACGTGCTGTGCTGCTCTGGAAGACCTGCCTGGGGGCTGAGCAAACAAGTGAGCTTTCAAGTTTGTGGCTTAATTGAGAAAAAAAAGAATCTTTTTGGCTAGAACTAGTCTAAGAAATCTTGTTTTATAATTCTAGCAAACAAATACTGGTGCTTAGCTCCCCATCAGCACATGTTGTTCCTGGCCCAAGGCAGAAGAGTGCCAGTGGGAGAAGCTGAACAGCCTCTGATCTCCCACAGCAAACGCTTGTGGGTCCTGTGTGGAGGGGAGAGGTTTTGGCTCAGTTACAACAGCAAAGGCCCTCTGCTAATTTAGTTGTATCCTGGCCTGAAACAAAGAGTTCCCAACAGTAGCAAGCAGGAGGGACCCGTTCACCACAGCTGCTTTTTTTGTTAATTCCAAAGTCCTTACCAACATCCTGGATCTGGGAGCCAAGGCAAATCCAGACAGCAGGGAGACCTCCACCATCACCATGTTGGATACGACTCTGCTCCCGATGTAGCTGGAGAAACAGCCAGGAGGTCCCACTGGGAGGCAGCAGCACGTTCCCTGCTCCCTCCCCTCCACCACCATGCCCTGTGTGCAGGACCCTGAGCCAGGCAGCCCAGCCAGGACTGGGCACACAGCCCCCACGGCTCTTCCTCGCAGGAGGTAACCCCC